TTTACTAAGTAGTCTTTTTTATAAATTTTAAGTTCCTTTATAAATAATAGGCTATATATATAATCTTTTATAGCTTTATTAGAGACTATAATATTAATATTATTGCTTTATAGTACTTAAATAGCTGCTACTTTTAGGATAGTCTTCTTTACTTCTTTTAATATCTTTTTATTATTCTTTTTTTTTGACTTAGCTAATTAGACTTATACATTATAGCGCTAGCGTTACATAAGGGAAACACCTGCTTAATGCAGACTAGCTGCTGCTATTAATACTTATAAATTCTATTTTAATAGTTGCTTAAAGAGTGTAGCTTTTTGTTGTAATATCTTCTTAATCCGTTTTAGTTGTGCCTCTATTCTCTTAGTTAATAGCTAATAACTTATAAGCGAAACGTAATTAATAATGCTTGCTAGCTTATCTAAATATTAGAGTCTTATCCTCTCTTTCTTAAGACCCTCCTTAATATTAGTAAGTGATTCCTCTATCTTAATCTATACCTCTGTAAATAATAGTCCTTCTTTTGTATTATAGTCCTCGCTTAAAGAAATACTGCGTATTAATTATGATCTGCCTGCGTCTTGCCTACACTTTGTAGGCCTACTACTGAGCTCTGACAGCAGCATTATTACTACCTAGGTAAAGTTAATCTTTTGATTACGAATTTAGTAGTTATATAGCTTCTAACTAGCTATAAAGGGCAGTTTAGTATATAAGTAAGCCAGAGTATAACTAAATATATCTTGTCAAGTAAATAATAAAATATAAAATATTTTAATAAAGACTTAATTTAAGCTTAAGCTTTAAAATTAATTTATTTATTTATTTATTTAATTCTTATACTAATGTAGTCCTGGCCTAGGGCTGATCTATATAGGGAATACGTATAATTAAGAATAGTTATAACTCTTAATAATAAATAAGAATAAACGTAAGGAAACCTTTCTAGGGAAAAAACCTTACCGCTAGTAAGTGAACGAGTTCTTTAGGGCGCTTTAATAGTGTACACAGGGCTCTATAGCTGTAGTATAATTAGGCGTAAAGTTGTTTAGCTGCAAACGAGAACTGAGGGAGGGCCCTAGCCTTTACTAGCTAAAGCGTTACTATCTTAAGGGCCTTTAGATCGTTAAGAAGACAGCAGTAATTTATTGTGCTAGTAGCGGCAAGCATCTTATGTCTGTCTAAGAGTAGCAGGCAGTCTATAACCACGTGTTAGGTAGTCTGTCTTCTCTAACTATACCTGCAGGATAGTAAGGGGATGTCTGGAACATTCTATTTAAAGAGGAAGTCTGTGAAGCCTATTTTGTTAGTTCTTAGTTATATAGTAAGAAAGCTTTATGCTTTAGCTAGGCCTTGATATATCCTTAATCTCTACTTACTAATTTCCTTACTCTGTATAAGGCTTAAGGCTTACTAGAGTGTTACTAGGTAAGTGTTACACGGAAAGCCGTGTAACAGGGTAGGGAGTGCTATAGAAGCAGGAGAGTCACGAAGAAGCTATGGAAGGCAACTGTATAACTATGTCGATTGGTATAGTGAAGGCTGAACTATCTAAGTGCTATGGAGGCGAAAAGCGAGGTATGACGCTCAGAGCGCCAAGCCTGCCTTAGCCCTCAGCTCTAATGCCTCTCTAGGCCATTGCGCAGGTTATGTCGTAATAGTTGCCGGCAGCAGAAAAAGGCCACGGCCTCGTGGTCATAGAAAAGAACAGAAATAAGCAGAAAAGACAGCATCTCTCAGGGCTGAAACTCCTTCCGCTTTTGGTCTAGCGCCGCAGCCGCCCTTGTGGCTCTCTATAGAGCGTCGAGCCGTCAGCTTGTCGACGCCCTCGGAGCCTAGAGCGCTCTAGAGCCTCTTCGTACGCACTAACTGACTCCTGGGCCTGCTCTAGCGCCGTTAGATCCTCCCAAGTGTTATCTTCAACTTTATATCCTTCCCATCTGACCTTGTATGATATC